ATAAAATATATTTTAAGATCATGTTTAATCATCTGATTCGTCTGTACATTGCTGTTTTAGTCTGTGTTCTTCTAATTAGTGTGTCTACAGTCACAGTGTGTGCCTATTGAGCTGTTTAGAGCCATGTGGGACAAAACCTGATTATGCCCCTCCCTCTCGCTGTGAAGTCAACGGTGACTGTAAAAACTACACTGCGCATGCTCAGAGTATTTTGTAATGAAATGTGTGTGGCAAAAAAATAATGACCAGAGGGGCATGGAGCTACCATCCCCACCATACGTCATCTCAAATCATTCAGAGCTGATTGGCTGTAAGTACGTGTGCCGCGAAAAGTGTGCTGTGTGAAGAGGAGACGAGAGAGCTGCAGTGACGCGTCCTAAAACCAGGAAGTAAGCACAAAAAAGCAATGAGATTTCTCCAGAGGATTTTAGAAAATAGCTCGAAATAAGATCTGTGGGAAACGTACCTGTTAGATAAATGCACGTTTTGATTAGCCGGATAATATCCACATGTCTACCCTACTTATATAATTTTTTTATCAAAAATCTATCGATTAGATTTATGATAGACTTTTGAAACTACTAGAAGATAAGGAGGACTTTTACAAAAAAGTAATAGAAATGTTTGTCCAGAAGGATAGGCAAATGGACTTCATCTTCAAGTCAAGGTAAGACCGCAATTTTATTGAAAATGGGATCTTACTATGAGAGAACAATTCAATATTTAAATGATAAAATTACATTTTTTGGGTATCCTTTTGTTGAACTGTCTGTTTAAAATTAATCGAAGCATCAGACAAAAAAAGCTTTTGAAAATAATATTATATTTTGGTTTAGGTCAAAATATAATATTTGTAAACCTGAAGAGTCAGTGCCAGTGCCTCAGCAGCCATGAACCTCACTGCACGTCACTGCAGAAGCTTATATATAGACATCTAAGTTTTTTGTGCCCCACCACTTTTGTACATATAAAAACGCCACTGGACACTACATACTGATATACACCTGAACATCAGCAGGAGAGGACTCTTTAAAGTAGAGACACTACATACTGATATACACCTGAACATCAGCAGGAGAGGACTCTTTAAAGTAGAGACACTACATACTGATGTAAACAAAAAAAGGAGCATAATATGCCGTCTTAAATTTCTTGTATTGTATTTTATATTGACGTAATCCATAAGTAACAGAAAGTAATCCAGGCTACATTACTTTTGGTAACTACATTTTTAAATCAACAAACTCAATGTGCACTAACTCTCCTTGTTGGCTTCCTATTTACAGATAACTTTTTTGTTATAAAAGGCTAAACGTCTGTGCACGCTCACTCATAAGTGCTCATGTGGCTCGGTGCACGTCGGTTTCAGCCAGCGTCACTTCTGTCACATGTCCTGGACATTTCCTAATATTGAGCTTCTGCGAACCCTCGAAAAACTATCTGCTCTCTTAACTGATAATCATCGGATTAACAGGGATGAAAAGACCTTTGTGTACGAGGGCCGCGAGTGTGTGACCTGATGCTGAAACCCCTGGGGATTCAAAAGGGACACATCAAAGTGATAAAGGGCTTCAATGGCACCTATTATGTATCAGGGTTTGGGCTTCCACCTGACTGTGAAAGCTACAGGCCGCTCACACACACACACACACACACACACACACACACACACACACACACACACACACACACACACACACACACACACACACACACACACACACACACACACACACACACACACACACACACACACACACACACACACACACACACACACACACACCACACACACACACACACACACACACACACACACACACACACACACACACACACACACACACACACACACACACACACACACACACACACACACACAGTCTCCCGGGTGCAGTGTTTTGTAACTCCAGGAGGTGGTGCCAAAACAGACCACAGTCGCTCAGGGTTCTTAGAGTAAAGCCACTTTACACACATCAAAGTGAGTTAAACTAGTGATCCAATACATCAATGAAGCTGCAGGGACCTTTGACAAAACACAAGGGACTAAATCCAACTGTCTATGAGCATCACACACCCAAAAAAAACCCGATTCAGAATTAATTAAAGTCCACAATCATGAGACAAAGGACGAGGCAATTAGCATCTGATGCTAAAGGCTATCTTTAAGCAGAGCGAGGGTTATGTCCTCCTCCTTAAACGACCACACATGATGGAAATGTACTGGGAATCACTTCAAAACAACGACATCTGTGCCGTGTAAACAAATGATTGAAGCATTTATTTAATCAATCATCTGAATACAACGTTCTTTGAGAGATGCTGAGAGACAGAAATCTTCATTAGGCTGAGTAACATCAGAAATCTACTAAACTAAAACAGTTTAAAGGCAGGCACTACTAGAGGAGTACATAGAAAACTGCATCGATCTTATTCATTGATTACCTCGGTAATGATTTGGTTTGTTTGTCAGCAGGATTACAGGAAAACTACTGACCTGGTTTTCATGGAACTGGAAGAAGGGGTGAAATGTTCTTTAAACATATAATCATTTCTGAAAAAAATCCTTTAATTAAGGCTGTATTTGTGGTTGACTGTGCTGTGGTGACCAGCAACATGTGGGTCATAGTTTATTATCATATTTAATTGACGCCATATTTTTTCATGACATACTGTATCTAGAGACAGGTGAGAACGCTGTTGGAAAATACTATGCAGCCTATCGTCATGGCAACACCTGCTACTACTCCCCTCCCCTATATGCTCGTGGGTGGGCTGCACCATTCAGGATTAACCTGAATTAAATCATGATTTATTTTGCAATCAAACAATGCTGCACCAGAAATTGTAAAAGCAACATAAATATACATTGAGATGCGTCAAGAAGTACGCGATAAAACAAAGAAAAGGAAAAATCACGTCTCAAAGGGCATTGTTTGAAAGTAAGAATCAAAACAGAGGGAAAGTGTTGAAATGGGAGTATTGTGGTAAAGTGAGCAGTGTATTTTTTCCTTGTACGATGTGAGGGTCTAAGGACAGAGGGTGTCGTTTTTCTCATACTGATATTCTGTTATATTTGCTGTAAAGTGTCCTTACTGTAAGGTAATTATTATATGTACAGCACTTTGGCTCGACCAAAAATCGTTTTAAAAATGTGCTATACAGTATAAATAAAACTTGATTTGATTTGATTTGATAGTGATATAGTAATAACAGTATAGTAATGTAGTATACTACAGTATAATGAGTTCAATAGTGATACAGGGCGGTGGTGGCGAAGTCCATAGGGACTTGGCTTGGCAACTGGAAGGTCACCAGTTCACGTCCCGGAAAGACCAAGTGCTACCGAGGTGTCCCTGAGCAACGCACCGGTCCCTACACTGCTCCCCGGGCGACGTACATAATGGCAGCCCACTGCTCCTAACACTAGGATGGGTCAAATGCAGAGAAACCGTTTCGTTACATCGTACCTGTACTACGTAATGACAATAAGTTGAATCTTCAATATAGCAGGGTTTTGTCTGTCGTGCTCTCTCATACCAAAATGCAGATTTTCCCCGTAAAAAGTGATGCCAGAAAACAATATTTCTGTTCGTCAAAAACTGTATAATTACTCAAGAAATATGAAAACCGTGTCAAATAGAGCGTCAGGCGACAGCTTTGTTTTTACGGTGCTCCGACTTCGCGTTGTTGTTAACGTTCACGGCGCCATCTTTTATACGGACGTTATGTGAATGGATATATCTTATACAAGATCAGCACCCTCATACTCCATTTTTATAGAAAAAGCCCTGTATAGTAAGGAGAGTAAAGTCATGTTGTATAGCATAGCACAGTATAGTTTAGTGAGTAGCATAGTGATATAGTAATGTGAGTATAGTGTACAATGAGTAGTAAAGAGAGAATCAAGATGTTGTTTAATATAGTGAGTAATATAAGAGAAAGATGAACCTTTATTTATCCACCTGGGGGAAATTCAATTTTTCACTCCGATTTATTATTTATAATATACAGTGATATTGTAATGAGGGTATAGTGATAGTATAGTATATTGAGAAGTACAGTACGGTGAATTTAGTTCAATTTAAATGGTTATAAAGCATCACTGTTAGATACATTAGTTGTGACTTTTCTGAATCAGATTGAGTACCTTAGAAACTCAAAATCATCGTATCTGAGTACTGTATATCTTCCTCTCCAGAGCACTCAGTATTGATAGTAATAAACCGTAGTACTACTGAACACAAAGCACTGTTGTTATGTTGTATTGTTTCAGTCATCTTTCTCCTCTCCTGACCAAAGCTCGCTCAATGCAAGCTTGAGAAAGAAAAAAGGTTTGTATAAGCATTGAATATTAATTTTTGGAACACTACATGTGCCTCATGAACAGCAGTGTGTGTGTGTGTGTCTAAATGTGTGAGTGTATCTAAATGTGTGTGTGTGTGTATTGTTACTGTTTTTGCAAGGTAACACACATTCTATTTATAGCAGCTACTGCCGAAACCAACATTGGATTCAACTTGTTCAAAGGAAAGGACTCTGACATTATATCTTCTGTACTGCTAATCACTCTCCAAAAGTGATTTAGTGAAAAAAAAGAAAAACCTGAAACTCATGTCATGTAAAATGTGATTTTTCCCAGCAAGAAGCACTATTTTAAAATGATGTAAAGATCAATAAATTACCAAAAATGACACCATACCAATAACTATACTCCCCTACCCCCAATAGCTGCAATACAATTCTCAATGCCAACTAAATAACGTGTTCTTCCTTTAAAGAAGCAATGAATATTTGTGTGTGTGTATCTAAATGTATGTGTGTGTGTGTGTCTAAATGTATGTGTGTGTGTGTGTGTGTGTGTGTGTGTGTGTGTGTGTGTGTGTGTGTGTGTGTTCATTGTTACCGTTTTCCCGAGGTAACACATGTTCTATTAATAGCATCTCCAATCTGTTTCCCCTAATCGCCCCACCTCCTCTCCATATGCCTCCCGGTGTTACCTGACGTTGTCGTGCTTCTGGATGTAGATCTTGTGAAACATCATGTCCTCCTGCTTGGCGTTTATGTCGGCTTTCATCTCCATGGCGACATGGCGGGGAAGCACCGAGAGCAGAAGGCGTTCCTGCAGGAGAGCGTGGGAAGAGGAGATATCAGACAGATATTTAAATTCGTTACGCACCGTTTTCCATCTTCAGTCGACTTGGAGCAGTGGGAGGATTCAGAGGTCCAGACCAAGGCTTTAAGGTCAAAGCACATTAATAAGTGCACGCTAAGTTAAGAGGTGGAGGCAGCATGACTAACACCCTCTAATGAATACAATAACTACTCAGTGATTAGGCCATTATGATTTGGCAATTACCTCTAGCAGGTCTTAAAAAAACCTTTCTAAACCACAGCTGTAGAAATATAGATCCTCTGTATGCAAATATGTTAATATGATCTTAGGTTGATGGTGTTAACCCTTCGATGCCCTTAGAGTGACTGGACCCTACACTCTTCCATAAGTGGGTCAAAAAGGACCCGTATTAGAATAATATGTGTTTTTATGCCATGTTTGTCATTTTGGTTAAGAAAAATCACTTGTATTATATTTAGTATTATATTTTGGTTCACACTAGAAATATTTTATATTACATTTTTCACTATTTATAATTTTCTTTTACATTTTGAAAAAAAAAACGTTTTTGAACATATTGATGCAAAGATCTCCGTTATTCTGAGACCCTCACAGTATTCCAGTCCCTTTTCAAAACTCATCTCTTCTTCTCTTGTCTACTCATAGCCCCCCCCCCCATCAATCCATGCCGGTTGATCAAGTTTGATAGTCCTATACCCCCCACCATAACCTTCCCTTATATTGTAAAGCGATTTTGAGTCCTTGAAAAGCCCTATACAAATATAATGTATTATTATTATTATTATTATACTGACAGGTATCAGAGCTTGCTGTGTAAAATAATCTTCCTGAGAGGTGTCACTTGTGATGTAGTCTGTTTGTCCTACAGTGAATGTATTCCTGACAGCAACAGGTGATAAGAATCAAAGGTTCCCATAGGATCCCATAGGAAATGCATGTGGGTCATTTTTGACCCACTTATGGAAGCTTGGGGTAGAAATACAAAAACTACAATTTCTTCAAATGTAAATTTAAAATTAGAATGGCATGATATCCAAAACATGTTTTTTGAGGAATAGCTGGAATATGAAATGATAAAAAAAATGTAATTACAAAGATACTTAAAAAAAAACACCTCACCGGGTAAAAAAAGACCCACTTATGCATCTAAGGGTTAATGGAAGGTATTTATCCCTGGTTGGACTCATTGGAAAACATTTTGTGAAATGTGCCAGCTAAAACTGCAGAAACCAACATTGGCTTGAACTTGTTTAAAGGAAAGGACAGTGAAATGATATATGCTGTACAGCTAATCACTCGCCAACAGTGATTTAATGAAAAAAACAAAACGAAATCAGTTGAAAAAAAACTGAAACTCCCATCATGTAAAAATGGGATTTTGTCCAGCAAGAAGCACTATTTTAAAATGATGTAAAGATCAATACATTAGCAAAGATTACACCATACCAATGTTTTAATCCCCCGAAAGTTCAGATTTTAATTCTGCTTTTTTTGCTGGTGTACTGCCTGAATATGATGAATGAAAGGCAGGTTTTACTATCAATAAAATCATTTTTGATCCTAAATATATTTTCTTTTCTAAGGTCACATTTTTCAGTTTTCTCACATAAAACACTTTAATAAAAAACATGTTATTGGTATTTCTTGCATTTATTGACATTGCATTTGATATTGAGGTAATACCAAAACTAACGGAAAGCCTAATGATCAGGTTACATTACTTACATTTTGATACTCAGATTAAGTTACTGTTAGGAAAATAGTGAATGTCCTCTTCCAATATGAGAGTCCACATGCTAACAAAGGTATCCCAACTGTAGCTGTGTACATGACAGGATGTATGATTACCTAGAAGAGCATCAGGACTGTTTTAGGCATATGATAGCTATGTGATTAACATGATGATTCAGCCTCTATGGAGATAGACATATGACAAGCATGATCATTTCTGACGTGGAGCTAATCTGAAGTAAACATTGAATACTGCTTTCTATTCCTCCATCTTGTGACTGTGTAACTCCCTCTCTTGGATATCAGCATGTGAAGGACACTGTTCAGGAACTAGTTGATGCTCTGTATGTGATGACTACTTCCATTCTGGAGAGGATCAGAAACACATGGATCCTGAGATTGAAGCTCAAGCCGGTGACATATTCCTAACACTTACTGATTATGTCTTTTTACAGTAATTGCAACAGATCACTTTTTCCCGACCCTGGCTGTGTCTCACCTGCTGCTGGTTCTCTCTCTGGGAGTGCAGGCGGGCCTGGATGCACTCCCTGGTCTCCTGGAAGGCCTGTCGCTGCGACCCTTCGGCGGGGTAATGAGTGCATACCCCCACGATGTTGGTGCACGAGAAGATCAGCACGTTGGACACTATCTGTGGAAGAGGGCGAGAGAGAAACATTAAATGAAGCTTAGCGCAAGTTCAACCAGGAAGACTGTCTTTAGTCATTCATTCACATATTTCCAGCTTACTACTCTCTCTCTCCTCTCAATCAGTGATCGGGGGCCGTCACCCCTCAGCTAAACCTATCACTTCACTCTATTCCCACAAGCCTATCATAGTGCATTGCTAAACCTTTAAATCTGCTCTCTCCCCTGTCATTTCAGATGACTCGACGCAGCCCTCCTCCACCTCCCGTTCTTCTGAAACCAGGGTCAAGCTTAAAGCACTCCTCTTCAGACCGACCACCATCAATCCCTTCATGCCTTCACCACCACCAGGGTCTAGACCCCAGGGGGGGTTCATCGGTTCGGTTTTTCCCCTCCCGAATAATATTCCAGCACATCGGGGTCTAATCGCCAAACACCATTACATGCATCTGTGTATTCCCGGCAGTACATATATATTGTTACATCAAAGGACTGTCTCCAGATTGAACTACAGCTGTCAAGTCTTCTCTGATTTCGGTGCAGTTTCCCCACTTGAAAGGGACTTGAAACATCTACTGGATCTGCAACTGGATTCCACTCCAATGACAGTTACTTTTTCAGTCTTTTATTGCAGTAGTTTACTTGAAAACTAATTTCCATTTAGTTGCTGAATGGGTCTTTTAGGTGAAAACCCTTTGAAGACAAGAAAGATGCATTAAACTTGCAATAGTCATTAAAATAAATAAAGCATGCAAACAATACACTTACACTGCGGCCTTGTTTACGAATATTTTACTACATAAATTAGGCAGACTAAGCACAGAAATATACATTTTAAACATGAAATAAATCTCTAAACCAAAGCTCTTTTTAAAATCTCAGCAAATTTAATTAAACAGGACTTTATTAGCAATGTTTTTAATCAATCAAATGAATTATTTGAACAAGAAAAAATATTCTTTCCTCTGTTTTAGCAGAGGTTTGAACACAATTTTCGCACACATCCAGATGAGAGATTTTCCGTTTGGTTTCATTTCTCTTTCCAAAGCAACAGGGACTATTTAAGATAATGTTCTCTGTATGTAAAACAAATACAACACATGTCAACTCTGCCACAAACCTCTCTATAGTTATTAGAACACAAGTTCATTGGGTCAACTCCATTCAGATTTCTAAACACTCTCAAATGGGATTCATAATAATACGTTTTTTGTTTGTCTCTTTACGTATTTTCTCAGTTTTTGTGTTATTTTACATTACATTACATTTAGCTGAGGCTTTTATCCAAAGCGAATTACAATAAGTGCATTCGACCAAGAAGATACCAACTTGAAGAAAACAGAATCATATAAGTACATCAGGTTTCATAGAGCCAACACATTTCAAGTGCTACTCAACAGGCTTTAGATAAGCCAGTCCTTTATTAGTATATAAGTGCTTTGTTAGTCATTGTATTTCTCGAAGTGGAGTCGAAAGAGATGAGTTTTCAGTCTGCACCGGAAGCTGTGTAAGCTTTCTGCTGTCCTGATGTCAATGGGGAGCTCATTCCACCATTTTGGAGCCAGGATAGCAAACCAACGTGTTTTTGCTGATGGGAACTTGGGTCCCCCTCGCAGTGCGGGTGCAGCGAGCCGTTTGGCTGATGCAGAGCAGAGTGCACGTGCTGGGGTGTATGGTTTAACCATGTCCTGGATGTAGGAAGGGCCAGATCCATTCACAGCATGGTACGCTACTACCAGTGTCTTGAAGTGGATTCTAGCAGTTACTGGAAGCCAGTGATTCTCTGTCAAAGCCTCTTTGAGTTTTTAGAAAAGCGCTATATAAGTGTCATGTATTATTATTATTATGTACACAACACATATTATTACCACTTCTCAGGTCAGAAGGTCTCTGGGTAAATCTGGTCATCATTCATCTTAACAGTCTCAATATTTACAGAGTTCAGTATATTCAACATGTTTTCATTGACTCCAAGTAAACTTATGTACATATAGTCACACCACACATTATTATATTGACTTATACAACTTTAAGTGTTGAGTTAAGCCTGTTTCTTTGCAGTATCAGACATCAAGCCAAGGACAAAAGCACGGCTCTTCTCCAAACAGCTGCACAGAGGGCTATTTATTATGTGGGATTTATCACACAGAACAATATGTGTGTAAGCAGGTGTTTATGAATCTGGTGCAAGAATGTAAACATAGATTCTGGTTTCAAATCTGCCCCTGGCCCCCTGTAAAACTTTGAAAACAAAAAAAGGGGCAGTTTTGTTGAGACAGCGGGACGGTGAGAGGAAGGGAAAGATTACAAATACAGGAGTGATGCATGCTTATATTGAACAATCCTACTAAAAGAAACTCATACAAGCCATTTTACACCATTAATGGCTGACCCTCTTATTGTTTGACACTTATTCACCCCCTGCGCCACAGACATCAGTTATTTAAAGAAGTCATTCAGAAATTGAGGCAGATTTTCCTCTTCGTCCTCCAAATTTGGGTTGAGAAAAAACATATTTTTCTTCTAAATGAAGGTCAGGGTCGTATGTTCAAACATTCTGAATCCATAAATAACCTGGTTTCTGTTTGAAAATAAACGTAGTTATTGAGTATTATTACACGGCTTAAAGGTCCCATGTCATGGCCATTTCTACTGATCATAATTCCATTGTTGAGGTCTACTAAAATAGATTTACATTGTTCAATGTTCCAAACTCACATTGGTTTCTCATACAGCATCTCTGTATAGTATGTGTATTCACTCTCTGTCCTAAACGCCTTGTTGGAGCTCCTGCCCCCCCCCCCCCTCCCTATGAGCCCAGTGTGCTCTGATTGGTCAGCTCGCCCACTCTGTTCTGATGAGTCCACCACCGTTACAGCGGAACATCAGTGATTATGTGTTACAATGGCGTTAGCAACCAGAAAAAGGACACCAGTAATGACAAACAGATGAGAATGCTGCGTGGGGTCTGGGTGCCGTGTTGGCGGGACGTTGCGCGGCTCGCTGCTGTGAGGAGCGGACAGTGTGAACTGGTGTCGTTTCCTGGTTGCTGCGTGGGGTCTGCGAGACAGCGAGACATCGCCAGCCTGAACTCAGCCTGAGCACCATGGACGCGGGAAGGGGGGGTGCTGAGGGGGCTGCAGCACCCCCATCTGCGAGGCTCCACTAGCACCCGCACCCCCAAATGCGGCACACCTACAGTGTAAGCATGCCACAGTTTCTCCGCTGCAAGGCTCCTCTAGCACCCCCCCCCAGCGCGCCACAGTTTCGCTGCTGTCTGTGTGTATGTGTATGTGTATGTGTATGTGTATGTGTGTGTGTGTGTGTGTGTGTGTGTGTGTGTGTGTGTGTGTGTGTGTGTGTGTGTGTGTGTGTGTGTGTGTGTGTGTGTGTGTGTGTGTGTGTGTGTGTGTGTGGTAGGATCTCCGTCACAGTGACCAGGAAGGAAAAAAAATGGAAAAAGAGAAATCTCCAACGAGGCGTTCTGGGGCAGCACAGACAGGTCTTTTCTGTGTTAGAGTTTTACTCGCTACAGGGTGTAACTTTGAGGGTTTGTGACCCTGTAGACCGTTTACATGCAGAAAAACCTTCATAACACACAAGGGGACGGGTAATAACCAGAAAAGCATGAGGACCTTTAACACATGGGACCTTTAACACATTTCCAGAATTAACAATGCTTTGGCTAATTTGAAGCGAATATATCTGCATTCCTCGTGTTGTTCTTGTTGATCCTGTCCAAGTTTCCACCTATCAAACGGCCTGCAAGCTGTCATGTGTCCAAGGCACCGCAGCTAAAAAAAAGGCATTGTTTCCATTCAGCTGCAGGCATACAGCGGGCCTTGGGACTGGCATCGAGCTGCAAAACAGAGCCAGCAGCCCTTTCTTTTCAAAGAGCCGTTTAATGGGCTGAGTCAGCCAGCTGAATCACATTCACACCACGGCCTCTCTGTTGCCGGAACAAACTGAACAAACACAGCACGTCTTTATCAAGTCAAAAACCCCTCAGCAGCAGGTCTCCGTGCTGAAAACCAAGCACACTCACAGGGAGGAGTGACTGGTGGAAGACTAAAGGGAAGCAAAAGCACGACCAAAGAGAATAAAGAAATGAGGTGTGAGACGGCGAGAGAGGGTGGTGAATTTAGAAAAGGTTACTCTGCTATTTCTGCTTTTCTTATCGCACTGAAACAATGTTATGCTGCAGCTGGACTGAGAAATAACAGCAGAAAGAGAGGTTTATATTCTTTGGTTTGGACGCTTGAACATTGACTTTGTTCTTCCCTAATAGAGTTTCACACAGAGAAATGTTTCCCTAAGGCAGGGGTCTGCAACCTTTTTGACCAAAAGAGCCATTTTGCCCCCTTTTCCACACATTTTGTCTGGAGCCGCAAAACATATTTGATAGCTTGTTAGCTTATAAAGTTGTATATATTGTTACATCATAGACAAACTACAGATTTTTTGCATTTATTATGTATTACATTATACTGTAGAAAACTGTTTGCCTCTAATAATAAACAAATAACTCTTATAAGGAGAATTAAAAAAAAATACACAGGCCTACTTTAAAATAAATCAACACAGCACTTGGGGAGTCCTCTGCACATTTGAAGAAAATGAATATAATTAAAATGGGAAGAATTAAACCCTCTGTGTTCCTCCGATACTTTGATTTATCCATAGTTCGCTCATCGAGCCGGGGGTCAGGTTATTCGCCTGTAAGAAAAAGCGCTGGTGCGGGACCGTAGCAGGATGTGACGCATCTTTTAGTTGACCTAATTAAAACCGTTTTGTTTTTTATGTATGTGTCACAGTATCACCTCAAAATACAAGATACGAAACATTTTCAACCGTGCAACAAAATATAAATATAGTCCTGCAAATATTTTTATTTTATTTCCTTCTTATTTTTGTCTAAGCTCAAGGGAGCCAGAGCAGAGGGCTTAAAGAGCCGCGGGTTGCCGACCCCTGCCCTAAGGTATCACCATTTATGCCAATGGTAGA